TCACTATCAGTGCGGTAAAAACGACTTTAATGCTACTTCCGGCTGTGACGTGAGGACTGCTGTTCCCAGCAGTCTTTGCGGCTGCGCACACGTGGTGGAACGGCGGACGGAGGCATCATGGCTGTGTTTATGGACCTGAATGTGTCGTTTCTCCCGGACAGGAGCGACCTGCGCAGCGTCGTGGAGACGGCGTCTCACCGTGAGTGTCCGCGGCCGCAGACAACGCTCTGTTCGCCGGCCTGCCGCTGCTCAGCCGCGGGAACGTAACGCTCCTGTCTCCGGGACCAGCGGCTTTTAAAAATGACTGTTTTTTGAATGGAGTCTGGTGGAAAAGGGCAGGCAAGAAGTTTTCCATCAGACTCCATTCAAAAACAGTCAATTTAAGGTTTCTCCGCGGTTTGCAGAAATGTAAACTAAAGTCTGTACCCTCTATTCCCGAGAGACTGATGATTTTAATTATGTGGTCGCAGTTGTTCCGAGTCAGAGCCGTAACACACTGAACTAAGTAACATAATACAGCTTAGAACAAACAGCTCCATAATCAGTTACACACAGTAAATGTATAAGTGTTAACATCGAGCAACTCTTGTCCTGCGGACTTCGTTCCTCTGTGTGTGCAGATAGTGAGGCTGTAACTATCACAGTGTGTTAGATGCAGGTGCGTTATGGATAATCTGTCTCTCACTGAGCGTGCTCCTGTGATTGGCCAGCATGTCATGGAGTGGGGGGGAGGTATTGTCCTGTATTGTCTTTATTTGGTACAACATCCACCTCTCAGACACCACCCTGAGGGAGACCAGCTCCCTCCCCACAACATTACTGGCCTTGTGATCAGTTTATTGAGTCTGTCGGCTTCTGCAACCCTCAACCTGCTGGCCCAGCGTGCAACAGCACAGAGGATGCACTGACCACAACAGACTCGTAGAAAACCCTGAGCGTTGTCTGGCAGATGTTGAAGGACCTCAGAGACGACTCTGGCCCTGCCTGTAGAGGGCAGTGCTGTTTTTAACCCAGTCCAGTTTATTATCTATGTGCACTCTGAGGTATTTCTAGTCCTCCACAACGTCCTCACGCTGGATTGAAACAGGGGTCACAGGTTTCCTGGTCCTCCTAAAGTCCACAATCGGTTCTTTGGTCTTTGCCACGTTGAGCTGCAGATGATTCTGTGTGACGTGACAAAGGAGTCGACCACAGCCCGGTACTCTGACTCATCACCCTCACTGATGCATCCAACCACCGCAGAGTCATCAGAAAACTTCTGATGGAGGTCTGTGTGCAGTGGCTGAAGTCTGTGGTGTGGAGGGGGAGAGGACGGTCCCCTGTGGTGCCGATCACCTTGTCAGACACACACTGTGGAAGACGCACATATTGTGGTCTTCCTGTAACAACAGGTAACAACAATCCAGGACACCAGCGAATCCACCTGCATCACTGTTAGCTGATCACCCAGGAGGGTCGGCCTGATGGTGCTCGCCGGCTGGTCCAGCAGACCTGGCTGAGTGGAGTCTTCTCGTTTGTGTCTGAACCTGGTTGTGAGTGAAAGTGACAGGTGGGGAAGGGGTGTGGCTGTGGACTGCAGGCTGACTACAGGTAAGGCTGTAGGGGGAGGAGTTTTACCTGCAGTGTAAATCTGGTGAACAACACATTCACTCCTTACCTCTGCCCTCACCCTCCTCTGCTCTCTCATGCTGTTCTGCTGGAGTTTCCACTCCTGCTTCCTCCTGTAAATGTCCTCATCCTCACTGATCTCATCTCTCAGTAACACCTGAACCAGTCTCACCTCCTCTCTGATGCCCTCCACCTGTCACCTGTTTGATGTCTTCAGCCTCTCACGGTCACTTTATTATTAGTGAAACATCCTGTCAGTCAAGTTTCAATGATCAGCTTTACACCCAAAACAACAAACAACAGCCAAACCAGACTCCATTCAAAAATCTGCAATTTTTAACGGTTTTACGAGTTTAGTTGAAACAAAATGAAAAAGATTTAACGCAGAAATCTGACTCAGCATCAAGTAAGCCAAGGTGCAGATGTAATCTGTGAGCAGCGTTTACACCAGACTCCATTCAAAAAACAGGCCGTTTTAGAGGTTCCTCTTGCTGTGAGTGTGTTCGTGACATTTATGCAGCTGTCAGTGATTATCAGCTGCCTCCTGCTCAGATGCGTTGCATCGCACGGTGAAAACCTTCCAGCCCTCACACATGTGTTTCTGTCCTCCTGCAGTCGGGTTCTCCACCATCGCCCTCAATTACGTATTTGAGCCCACAGCCAAGAAGAAACAGGTGAGTGCACCTGCTGCGCTGCGTTCAGGAACAGTACAGAAACCGTGGAATTAATATTCAGGTTGAACCTGTCTGATTAGCAATCAATAAATAAAACATCTGTGGCTAGTTTTTAACAAAAAGCATCCGTAGCTTCAGATGTTTATTTTGTGTCACTTCCTTCCTGCAGGAGATCCCCACCCCGACTCCGATCAACGAACTGATCGATCAGCTGCCCGTGGTGCAGGGTCGATCTCGTCCAATCAGAGTGCTGAACAGGCTGACGGTGGTGATGTCAGACGCGAGTCACTTTGTGAGTTCTGTAAACTCCGACGTTTCATAAACCTGTAAACTCATCGATCACGTCTTCATAATCAATCTGTATGGCAGGGTGCTGAGGGGGTGGGGCCTGTGTCAGCTGTAAAGTACATTTTAAATATCTGGATTACAGGATTACTCGAGTGGTTAGAGGTAACCGTGGTTTCTGCTAAAGTTGAATTAAAGAGATTCCAGATTACATCAGCCGTGTCCATGGTTACAGGATGATAATCTGAAGGGTGACAACCTGATTCATGGTTTGGTGTGTGTGTGTTTTCAGAGGCCGAACGCTCCGGAGTACCGTCGCTTCGACCTGCTCGCTGTCCAGCCAACCTCAGAGAAACTTTTCCACGTGAGCTTCACTGACACGCAAACACTGTGCTGTGTTCACTGACTGCAGGACTTTCTGCTTCATCAGCTTTATTTGCACACGTTTAAAATAAATCTGGCTTTTCGTGCTGCACCTGAACACTGCGTAAAAATAACACTGCTGTGTGGTAACACACACACACACACACACACACACACAATATACACACATCAGCACCATGATTGGATGCTCAGTTCCAAAACCTCTCATATGCATGTAATGTAACCCTGTGTGTGTGTGTGTGTGTGTGTGTGTGTGTGTGTGTGTGTGCAGGCAGCCTGCATGGTTTATGACATCGACATCATCTGTGTGCCGATGACGGAGAAACTTCCTTTCTTCTTCAAGAGAGCGCCGATCAACGGGGTGACCGAGCATCGTGACCCAGATTATTACTGCGACCGTCACGTGACTGTTTATTAATGTGTGTGTTTGTGTGTGTGTGTAGGCCATAGACAGAGGTGTGGTGTTCGAGGTGTCGTACTCTGCAGCCATCAGAGACTCCACCATGAGGCGCTACACCATCGCCAACGCCGTCAGTCTGATGGAGAGCTGCAAGGGAAAGGTGGCGCTGTTTCTCCAATGCTTCCTGTACCAACGACTCGACTTCCTGTCACGTGACTAAATTGTGTTTGTGTTTTTTCTCAGAGTGTGATTCTGTCCAGTGCAGCTCAGA